GGTCTCCGGGGGGGCGCTTGTTTTTGGCTTGGGGGGGGGGGGGGGGGGGTCGGGGGTCATGATTGGCAATATGGAGCTTTAGGGGACCTCCCTCCCCATGCAGCAGGGACCATCCCCTCAGCCACACCACTGCCCCCAAATCCTCCCCAGCCTTCACACCGAGGCAGCTCCAGCACTAGGTCCCAGTGAAGCCACTGGGGATCTGAAGGGAGGAGACAGCACAAGTGGCTGTCTGCTCTCAGGGAACCCATGCCCCAGGGGCCAGAGGCTCCAGCCCCCTCACCACCCTGCCCCAGCTCCCCTGGACCCCCACCTGGGCAGCGTGGTGCTGTTCTTCTCCCACGGCCGCCGGACCAGGTCTGCAGAGACATGTAGGTGAGGACAGGCTGCTGGGGGGGGCACAGCTGCCCCCCACAGTGGGAACCAGATTGGGGGGAAGTGGCTTGGGTCAGCAGCAGCTCCCCCCAGACAGCACTGCTGCCCCTCACACCCACCAGGGCCCCCAGTGCAGACTGGGGCTCCACCCCCACCCCTGCAACACTCACCAGGCTGCTGGCTGGGGGTCCTAGTCCCTGAGGCCTCAGAGTCATCTTGCTGGAGGGAGACAGAGCAGGAGAGGGTAAGCAGGGCAGGGTCACCCCTGCCTCACCTCCTGGGCAGGGATGGGGGGTATGCCCCCCTCCTGCCGTTGCTGGGAGAGCTAGAGGGTGTTGCCCCCTCAAGACGACCTCAATCCCAGGGGACTATGGACCCAGCCAGGCTCCAGCCAGGGAAGTCAGTGCACCCAGGATTGTGGGAGCGGGGCGGAGAACCGGAATGGGACAACACTCACGCTTGAAACATCCTCATCTCTCTTTGGAAGGGGCTTGTCGCCCTGCAGCGTCGCCTTCCGCCTGGGGGAGGCAGGGGTCAGCCATGGCCTGGGGGACCCCCCCCCCCCAGCCTGTACAGGCCCTGGGGTGCTGGGTCCATAGCCCCCTCCCCACTACTTACCGCCGGGCCAGCATGGCGTTCATCTCCTCCATGAGCCCCCCACCACTCCTACCTGTGCTCCGGGGGGCTGAGCCGGGGCTGCCACTACTGCTGCCCCCACCCCCGCCTGGGCTAGCACTGTCCTCCTGGGGCTGGCACAGAGTAGAGGTGTCAGGGCCCCTGCCAGGGTTCCCCTGGCCAGTAGCCAGAGCCCCACCTTAGACCTCCCTACCCAGCCCCTGCCCCCACACCCCTACCAGTAGGTTCCAGAGCAAACATGCAGTTGCCATGAAGTTCCCATTCCCCCTCCCGGCCTGGCTCCCCCTCCCCACTCTCTGCCACCTCATTCCCCCAGCAGTAGGTTTCAGATTAAACCCTCTATTGCTATAAAGTTTCCACCCCCAGCCCCACTACCAAATCTGCCCCCTGCTATTTCACACCTGCCATCATTAGGTCCCAGCGTTAACAGGCAAGCAGTGCCATGAACTTCCCTCCTCCCCCACAACCAGCCTAGCCCCACTCCATTGCCTCACCAGTAGGTTCCAGGAAGCACATCCCCATTGCTGGTCAGTTCCCATTCTCTACCCCTCCACTCCAGCTCCCCTCCAGCCCCTACCACCATTTTCCCCATTAGTAAGTTCAAGCATAAACAAACATTGCCCTGAATCCCCCCCCCACTCCAGACAGCCCTCACCCCACTCCCTTGACAGCAGGTTCCTGAAGAAAGAGATCCCACTGCTTTGAAGTGCCTGTTCCCCCTCCCACCAAATCTTTCCATCAGTAGATTCCAGAGCAAACACCCATTGCTGTGAATTCCACTCCCCCCACCCCATGTGTTGCCCCCTCCTCACCTTGCCAGCTTTCCTGAGTTTGGCCCCTGCAAGGGCAGCTGCAAGACCAGTGCCCCCACTCCCACCCCCTGCACCAGGGCCCTGGGTTGCAGGCAGGGGGGGTGCAGGTGGTGGCCCCCCCCCAGTAGCAGGGGGGGGACCAGGTGGGGGGGGTGGCCCTGGCGGGGGTGGAGGGCCAGGCGGAGGCAGGGGTCCTCCTGAAGGGGGTTGTGGAGCTCCTGTGGGGAGCAAGGCAGAGAATCAGGGTGGGGCCCAGGGTGTGGGGGGGGGGGTATCTGCTCCCCCACACAGCCCCTGCCCCCCACTCACCAGGGTGGGGGGGGCATAGACCCCCCCCTCAGCCCCTCCCTAAAGATGGGGGGGGGCAGTGGAACCAGCCCCTCCCCAAGGACCCTGACTCAGACCCAAACTCCCCGACCTTGCAGGGACCCCCAACACCCTATCCCCCAAGGCAGTGCCTGGACCCAGGGTCCCCCCAGCAGAGGGCAGGGGCAGCAGGTACCTTCTCTGTGGCTCCATCTCCTCCGGGCTGGGGCCGTTCGGGGCCGGCCAGGCCTGTGTGGAGCCTGGGGACATGGGGGTGTCAGCTGGGACCACCACCCCCCCGCCACCGCCCTTTACTCTGCCCCAGCCTCCCACTAGCCCTCCCATGGGCAACAGCCCACTGCCAATCCTTGATCCCCCACTTGCCCCCAGCCCCTCAGCTGGGAACCCAGGAGTCCTGGCTCTGGGGCCCCTCTGGGGTGGGGGGGGTTACTGCCCCCTGGAATGACTAGCCCCCTCTTCAAGAACCTCAGAGTTGCCCCCCCCGCACAGAGCTGTCCACCTCAAGGAGCCCCACACTCCACCCCTCCCTTCTCTCCAAAGGAACCCAGGAGTGCGGGTCCCCCTGCTGACCAGTGTCAAGGGTAGCGAGTGCGCCCTGCATGGCGGTGGCGAAGGCAGCAGCATCCTCCCGAGTGCAGAAGCTGAGCCCCCAAACCTGGCGGGCATCACGCCACTGGTGGAAGCTGGCAGTCGCCTGGTTGTAGCGCAGCCCCCGGACCAGTGCACAGTTCATCACCACCTGGGGGGAGCTAGACACCTCAGTTCCCAGCACTAAAGGGAAACTCCCCTCCCAGACCAGCTCCCTTTCCCCAGCCTCTGCCACCTTTCCCACATCAGTAGGGTCCAGAGTGAATGCACCCCATGGCTCAGAAGTTTCCATTCCCCACCCCTGAGCCCAGCTCCCCCCAGCAAGCCCCTGACCTTGACTTCCCGACCACATTTGCCCAGCCCTGCCCCACCCACCCCCAAGAAGCCCTAGGCTGCAGGGCCCGGATGCCTGGGTTCTCAGCTGGAGGTCAATACTGTCTGCTCTTGCTCCCCTGATCACCCAGGCTGAATAGTGCAGGGCCCAGACTCCTGGGTCCCCTGCTCCTCCTTCCCTACCTGCTGGTCAGGCTGCATCTTGCGGGCCACAACACGGAAGGCACCAGCCGCAGGGCGGTGCAGGAGCTGCACGTGGCTGTAGGTGCTGGACCCCGACCCAGCCGTCACCCATTTCTTGTTGGTATCATCATAGATCATCACCGTGGCCCGGGCCGAGCACAGCACCGTCTCACTGGATGGGGTGACGGGAGGGTGAGCATGACCCACCCAAGGGACCCCCTCCAGTATCCCTCCCACCCAAACCCAAGAGGGACCCCATCTCCCTCAGTGAAATGGGGAAACTGAGGCACCGAGAGGGAAGGCAGGAGGCAGGTACAGAGCCCAGGCATCCTGGTTCCGCTCCACCCCCCACCTGCTCTGCCAGAGACAGGACAGAACCCAGGCATCCTGGTGGCCACTTCCCTTCCAGCAAATGATGGAACCCAGGCGCCTGGGTTCTGTCCCTCCCCCGCTGCACTAGCTTGGGGCTGAACCTTATATGGGCTTGCTGGGAGCTGGACCACCTCGCCCCAGCTGGCCAGAGAGCCCCTGCAAACCCCTGCTGCCCACATGAAGG